AAACGACTCGCAGCATCCCAAGTAGTGCGACCCTCTGGGAACAGGTGGTCTTCTTTCCTCTTCTTTTGGGGTATCCTCGCCACCTTGGCCGGCGTTTCAGGAATGCCAAGTCCATTATACCGTTTCGTCATTACGCAGGGCCGCTCCAGGTCCAACACCTCCGTGTCATCGTTTCGAAAAAAAGGGGCCAAAAAAGCCGCGGCAGGTGGTTCGTTCCCCGTTCTTAGGAATCCGTTTGTCGTCCCTCTTCCTCGATTTCCTTTCCCCGTCGCCGAAGAACGCTAAACGAGAAATAATTCCAAGATGAGAACCACACAATGGCGCCTCGAATGGACGCAGGCTACCGGAGGCACTTTGCAGCCGGACTGTAAATCAATTCATTCTCCTCTATTTCCTCTCGGTTCGAGACGATTGCTCCTCGAGATTATGCCTGGTTCTCGGACGAACAAAATGAAGTCTTACGGGCTTTCGCGTGAGTCGATGCAGAAGATCGGACTAGTTCTCAGGACCCGAGTTGCAGGGTCCCGCGGAGAGACAAGTCATTCCGGCCAGTCGCCATTATGAGTGTAGGTAATCGACTCATTATATGTATTAGTTGCACTCATAACTAACTTCATATCGTCGCCTTGGACCGGGAAGATCGCATATCTTGCGTTCTGGTACCCGGCTTATTAATTAACTTAGATAGCACAAGTATCCTCTATAAATTGGACGCCTTCCTTTTTCGTACTACTTGATATCAAGATGGCGTTAATATTCCCATTCCAATTAATAACTCCACTGCTGGTAATTTCCCCGTAGAGGCCACTCCGAGTTTTATTTTAGTACCAAAACGCAAAGAGGAATTAAGTAATTAACTGTAAACAAAAAAAACAATTCACTTACCTACCCCTTTTCCCATCATAAACCTTTCATAACCTACAAACTCACGCTTACTACCGTGCGGTTTGCCTGGAAAGTAAAGGAGAATTCAGAATCCGCGAACGGTAGTCGGGTCCAGAGGTTAGGTCGAAAAATGAAATTTCGATCCCTAATCGAGCGAGCACTTTTTTCCAAGCCCGTCCAGGTATGTGTACCTTGTATCGGCGATCAGGCGCGTTCTCAAGACACGGCCCAAGTCCTGTGTTAGAATCTCGCGACCCGCCTCGAGCCTCGCCATTCCAGCCAGGCGCCGCATCGCGTTTCTCCTGCTCGTTTTCTCCTCTTTGGTCCGGCTCGGTCTCGGTTCCCTCGTCCTCGGACCTCTCACTCTTGCCCGCGCGCCCCCCCGCGCCCTTTCTTTCTCGCAGGGCTGCTTAGAGCGCTCCTTTTTGCCAAGGAACGCCGGCGATGCGAGCGGGTGCGCGCGCCGCGACTCCAGCGCCTCCTATTATGTACCGGGAGGTCAGGGTGCTTCGGGAAATCCAACCCCCACCTCGCTCTACCGCCTTGGTGCTGCGACGGCAGCGCCATCGAGTTGTCCGAGCACTAACGAACCGGAAGTGGCGCCTCCGCGCACTGAGAGGCGCCATCTTTCCAGCATCTATAAACCCCCGAGATTTATTCCTTTCGACGGGAATCCGTTGAGGTATAAACGAGAGTAGTTTCCATTCGTTATTAATAGATTTATTTAAATATTATAGTACATTTCATATTTCTTACCCAACTCCAATTCTACAGGCACTGACCAATACCTCCTAGGACCATTTTTTAAGGTTAACACTCCTTGAAAGGGTAGTAAGAAATTCTGCGTCCTCTTCCCTGGTGATATAGTGATATGGATTTGTGTCGGTGGAAACGGTGGAATTAATTGACACTTTTGTCTATTCTAGGTTATTTCTATCGTGACATTATAAGACGTACATAAGCAACCGATCAAAATGGTCTAGGGGATTTCGAGATTACTATGTGAAGATTTAGGATCTTACGTCTTTATGTAATTGTATAGGTTAGGAATAGGACAGTTGTCTTTTTGAGGGCAATCGAGTGCAGGGAGAGTTTGGTGAGGATTTCGGGCCGGTGAAATTGCGGAGCTCCGAGGCGGACACGATCTCTTCCGTCTTCTCGGGGCGGTGTTTATCTCGTACTCCTCTGGCGACTCGCTCGACGAGCGCCGTTCGGGACACCTGTCCGGAACGTTCGTGTCCCACGCGTGAAGCGCATAACCTGTTTCTGCGACGCAGCCACGAAGCCCGGTACCAATTGGTTCAAGTGCGCGCCAGGAGACGAGCACGCTCGAGCGGACTAGCGATGGGAATCAACTGCCGTAAAGCGACGCCGTCTACGACCTCGCCGAATCAGTCTCCTTACTTCATAGAATTACACCCACGCGTGGAAAATTGAATTGTACCATTCCCTAGAAATAAACCCGCGGGAGTATTTGCGGGCTTGAATTATCCTAACCTCTCCACATTTACCGCAACAATGGGCGGTCCTCAATACCAACGAACATTAGCAATAGCTTGGTATAATCTCGACCAAATACGACATTACCAATTATTAGTCAACACAATATTTCGTGTCCCGGTAAATATTAAATTGAAATATATCGTGGTAACACAGGAGGGATATTTTATGATTGAAATATCGGATAGAAGATAGCTTTCGCGTATTACGCCGCGATATTCTGTCAATAAAGAGCATCGTATAGGGTATAACAATTACGGAGATTTTTATCGCCTTAATCGGAGGGGGTTATGTCCAGCTGAGGCGTTTCGCGGGGACTATACTTAACGCGCGAGCCCATTATCAGGCATTATGGGGGATTTTTATTTTCGAGCAAATTAATCGCGCAAAATTTCGGTTGGTGGCCATCACTTCTCGCAGGTGTCCGTGGGACGGGCGTGGAAGGAAACGCGAGGGAGCGACGAGGGAACGGGAGGGAGAGATGTACACGTCGGACGAGTGAGGATGAATTAGGTGCCGCCCCACCCTGGCGAACACAAACGCGAACGCGAATGGCAAATGGCGGGTGACAAGGCATCGGCATCTGCGTTTAATTAATGCAGCAGCAACCGGCGTTCGCGATATGCCCGAGGGAGAGCCCACGAGAATGCCAAAGCCGATTGCCGAAGCAGTCGAATCGGTTAGGACGTGTCGCTGTCGCTGCCGATTTCCCGCCCCGAAGTTCGGGAATCACAGACCACGTGACCTCTCAAATTTGCATACCATAGACATACGCCAGCGAAATAGTCCCTCGCCCACAAACGGGATTCCCCATAGACGTACGGTATGGACCGAGCATCTATTGTTGCCACTCTGTCCTCGTAATAAGAAAAGGCAAAACATGTTAGTGCTACTCTCTTTCTATCAGACGGACATTCTCTTCATTGTCGGCAACATTAGATACTCAGTCCATACTATAAGTCTATGGGATTCCCTCGTCCTAGTAGAGACGAGAGGTTAGGACGACGCGCCGACTAACGAGTTCCATAATGAAGAAGTAACTATTCCGAGAACATAATTGTCTCGGTCGGATTTCACCACGGCATAGTGGGGCCGTTAGCTGGGTGTAATTCATGCGCACCGGAACTTTATCCCGATCGGAATACTGAAATTAATAGGCCTCGCCGTATACATTTCTCGACGGCCGTTACCTGCCTCTTACGGAGCTCCGAGCACGTGACCGAACACATGCGCGCGCGGGGTGCGCACAAGCGCAAAAATCCCGCGACTCGATACGCGCCTGGTGGGGTGGGGGACACGGAGGAGATTCTGTATATAGGATTGCGACAGTGCGGCGCCAGTCGGCCAGTCGCTAGTCCGAGGAAGTGGACGGAGGTGGACGGAGGAGCCACCCTAACCTCTCTTTCAAGAGGAAATCCTTCTCAAGGATCCCACACGCGGTAACCGCGCTTGGTATCGAATACTCCGATTATTAGCGTCGCTAAAAAACGAGTATCCGATTAACCGTTACGATTAAGTAACCGCCATTGCGCGCCGGACAAGGAACGAACGCATTACTAGATATTATAACACGTTTTTAACGTCGAACGGCTTTGCAACGCCCGATGTATCTTCTTTAGGAGTTTAAGTTGCGTGTACATGGGGCTTTAAAACGCGATACGCCGTACTCAAGCCATGCGAAAGAAAAGAGGCTCCTTTTCGTGCGGCGTCTTCACGCTGCGCTCCACGGCCCTTATATGGTCACTTGCTGTATAATTCATCGTTGCTCACACAGACGCGTCTGTACACTCGGAGATACATAACCTATACGGAGGCAGACGCACGTAACATGCCCCGCATTAAGTCGCAGTTACATCGGACGCGTAATCAGACGGTTGACCACGGGGGTCCGTATGGCCTGCCTGACACTTTTTATGCCGACGATTGTATGAAACGACCTAAGGGGTTGGAAAAAGGGAGGGTCTCAATGGAGGACTTGCAGATATTGCATCATTTAGTTTCTCCATATTTTGGTATTTTAATGCAATTTAATGCACTGTAAGGAAAAGCTTAGGACGTCGCGCCATTTTCAAGAATCATATCTGAGTCATGCCGCGTGGGGGCTGATATATTTATACAGAGAGATTAAAGCACCGACTCCTTGTTGAATGACTAACGTGTAATTAGGTAATTGCCTTATCTCAAGTATTCCACCTTCATTACACCTCTCGTGTGGCAAGAGCTACAACGCTCGCGGTACGCCGGATGTACCTTAATTCGATAATTATCTCGGGCGCTTACATGTCGAAGCGATCGGTTTCTTTGTTCGCGCGAAGGTGTGGCGTTTATCTTCGAATGGACACTTCTAAGTACCGCGCACATGTTGCGGTAACGGTTAATTACTGTACTTAAGCAACGGGCGCAAATTAATTCCACGGAGGCCGCTCCGCCGCGGACAACTTCTTCCGCGCCATATTTGATTCGTGACTGCAACTTAATGCATGGAAAGTTAACAGGCCCCGAGGTTGCAGAAAAACCGATTCCTTGATAGAAAAATAAATCGCATTCACGGAGAAAATCAATAAGCCGTTGTCATAGTCACATTTACGTGTTTCATGCAGATGACGGTTACGCTAATCGCGGCTTAGAAATTGCACAACGGGGCTCAAACCGTCGAGAAATTGGCTGCTTTTCATTTTCCCTTTTTTGTTTCTGCTTTTATTTCATTACCCCCCTGGTCGAAACCACGGGAAGGGACGAAAAAGAACAAGGAGGTAGGAGCCCAAAAAGAGCAGACATCAGGCGTGAAGTGGCGCGAGGGACCGATTAATTCTTGCGGTCGCGAGAGGTAATCGAGCGAGCTATCCCAGCTTCCAGATTGAACGCTGGACCTCCATTCAGGGTCTCGGACGTTTTTCGTTTTATTTTCATTTTACACGCCGGGCAAATAAGGGTCGCTTTACCCGTTTCCACAATTTTCTGGAAGCCCCTCTGTGAGAAATAAATCCCGGTAGCCAAGGGGGTAGCGAATTAGTCTCGGGTAAAATGTTCCTCCAAACGGGGATCATCGGTCGATCTCGCGGCCGTGTGTATCGATGAACAACAATGGCGACGAGATAGTGCCTAACAGCCCATTGTTCGCGACTCGAAATATTCCCGATGTCGCCAATCTCTGCGGGCCGACTAGAAAAGGAAAATGCAGAGACTGGCGCGAGGGTACGTATTTCCAACGCTACATCGGCGGAGAATCTGTCCTCACGTTGCTCTCTTTGGGACGAGCTCACGAGCTCTCGGTAGATTTGAATTTAGCTGTACAAAACTAGAGACCACGTGCCACCGGCGTCTGGAGAAATATCGGCTCATAACTCATATAATCTTTGAAAAATGTCACGATCCAGATCACTACCGCCAGTTTTACGGATTGACAAAATTATCACGGGCACTCTGGACCATCGTCACGTTGCACAAACGATCGGAAGGTCCCAGAGCATATTTCTCCGTTACCAGAAATAGTTCACTGCATGGTGTAGTGGTATCTATGCGAGGAAAATCCCTCTTTATGCGCAGTTGGCGGCACTAGTCCACGCGTGTGCAGGGATAAGAATAGACAAGCCAGGGGTTTTGAAATACATTGTCATTTAAATTGTACATTCCACTTATAAATTAACTTCTCTTTCTCTTCGATGCATTGCTCATCTTCTTCTTCCTCTTCGATGCTCTGCTCCTCTTCCTGAGGCGAAGCGGCTCCTCGGTGAAGCTGTTAGAGAAGAGAGATTAGTTCGGAGGGAGAATTCTATTGTTATTCCGCCGCGGAATATCTAGAAATAGTCGGGGGAGGAGTAGAGGCCGGCGAGTCGGCGGTCTGGCGCCGCTCGAAGTGCAGGCAGACGGCCAGACAGGTGCGACCGGGTGCGACTGCCTCGCCGCGTCTCGCCTCGCCTCGCCTCGCCTCTCCGTCATCCGAGCTGCTCCCAACACCGAGACGCCGCTCGCCCCGAGACCGACCGCTACCGACAACATTCCTGCAGATTTGGCCGCACATTCCGAACACTGACACACGACGCGTGACACACTGACCACGATTGTATCCAATTGTATCGGTCCGAAAGCGACGCCGCAGCCTCCGAGCGGCGCCACCAGAAGCACTCTGACGTCACCGGGATTAATGCCCCCGGCGACATTACACGCATAAACACTAAGGTAATGCAAATATATACTAAATCAACAACCCTTTATTTTGAGAAAATTAAGTAAACAAGTTTACCACGACTGGAACCGTTGCCGGGTTTAAGTAAGTGGTGGGAACGCAGGCGCGTTCGTGTCTCCCTCTGTGGAGATTTTGCGTAAGTTGATGCGTATAAACAACGGTTGGTAAATAATGGGTTTAGGATTGTTTTAAATTGTTTCGGCGAATGTTAAAGAGCTTTTACCGATGGGTGTGACTTTGCTGGTAACTGAAATTATTCTTTAGTGACATCTAGGGAATGATGGCCGAAACGTTGTGGATTTCTTGAAATATGACAAAGCGAGACATCAAAGTTTACGCGGGAAGTGTAATAGATGTAAACACCTTGGATAAGAATGCTTTTAGCAGTATAAGGCGTAGAACAGAGTGTATAAGGTTATGATAATTCCATTATAAGGCATTGAATAAAAACAGTATTAAATAAGGATAAGTGGTAAGTCGTGCGAGTATTTGAAAGATTCGTTGTCTCTAACCTCTATTGTTTATCCGTATGAACATTTTTCATCGTCTATTTAATTCAGTACTTTGTAATTGCCTGAAATAATCGAGAACTCAATTATCTCAGACAGTAGCTTTGATTTTTGCAAAATGAAAATGTTATATTAATGTAGTTTATATTTGCAGCTTGTAGCTATGTCTCAGAGAAGAACGAGACGCATTCGCAATGCAAGAGCTGTGGATAGCGACGATGATGATTTAGATATAATGCCTCAAGGAAATAGTCAGAATAACCACAATGCGTCTCGACCAAATCAATCTCAGAGAAGCGTACGGAACAATTATCAGCATACATTCAATTATAATGACGATGATAGCGATGACGATATTTCACCCCAAAGATCCCAGACTCGAAGACGAAATGGAACAACCAAAGTTCATCCCTCTACTAGCCAAGCTACTCAAAACGACGATTACGACTTTTCGCTTTCCCAAAGATCACAATCATCCCAAAGAAAAGAAATATCTGAAGAAGAAATGAATCAGTTGGTTAACAAAGTAGTTAGATATTTATTTAAAGCTGATCGCTCTAAACTACCTGTATTGAGAATACATATTATCAAGGAAGTTCTTGAAAACAACAGCAAACACTTTAAGCAAATCATGCTCAATGTGAAAAGTGCTTTGGAGAGTTCTGTAAGCTTTTAATAATTTTATTAAGTTCACTCGTTACAAACTGTTTCTCGGGGCTATGTTTTTCTAACGATATAAATATGAATTCAGGCCATTGGATATAACTTATTGGAATACGAAAGTGGGAAGTATATTATAACGAACAAAGTTGACAATCGTGTGCCTCACATGAATTTTCCACCACAAGACGGTCCAAAACTAGTACTGTTGTATTTTATACTGGCACATATTTTTATGTCAGAGAACGAATGCAAAGAAGGTTCCTCCATTTCCATATTTATGACTTCATTAGTATTTATCTAAGTGACATAGCTCTTTGAGACACTAACGTAATACATTTCTGATGTCCTAAGAGTCGATATGGAAGTTTCTGAAAACGCTGACAATCATCAGAGAGAATCATTTTGAACACGAATACTTCGGTGATGTGTATCGATTAGTCACTGTAGTGAGTATGATACTAAAAATTATTTCTCCGCCTAAACTTCCAAACATTACATCTTGTCACTAAGTACTACTTATCAGTTCCTATTTTTGAAGTAAATATTTCTATTCCAGGAGTTTGTCAAACAACTTTATTTACGTATGACAAAGGTTGAAAACTCCGATCCGCCTACTAATATGTTCAGTTGGGGTGTTCGAGCTGAACATGAAGTGTCAAAGCTCCAAGTGCTGGAATTCGTGACAAGCGTAATTAAAACAATAATTCTAACAATTTAAACAAGATTTATATGTATAATCTCATCGAACATTTATATTTTTAGATCTACAAAAACCGCTCCATTGAGAGCTGGGCGGTGCAGTATCGAGCAGCGCAAGAAAGCGAAAGAGAACGACGTGCAGCCGGATGAAGAAAAGAACTCAAGATCGATTCGAACAAATCGTTAACATTTTTAGTGCCTTTTAAAAAATATATATAAATTTTAATCGCGTTTCGTCTCAATTTCCGCGTCGAGCGGCGATTTCATAGTCTATCTGAAAAAATTGAACGAAAAGGCAAATCGAACATTCAAAATTTTCTTAAGTCGCTCGAGGCGGCCTTAGAAGTGCGCAGAGAGATTAGAAACGTGTGATCTTCGAGTTCACCAGAGGTCAGGGAGATCAGAGGTTTAAACCAAGAGCCATGCTCCAGTTAGGGCGGATTTACCTACATACGTATCTTACGCCACCACGGCATATATTCGGAGAAACTAATATCATATAAAACGGAATCCCACGTCGCGTGTCTGGACTAAATCTGGCAAGCGCGGGGAACACTGCGCTCTTTATCGGCTTTCCCTCCCTATCGAGGCCGCGTATAAAAAAGTCGCCTCAGACAAAGTTTGCTCGTCACATCGCGACGCACAACTTTCGTTAAAAGCATTGTCCCCGATCTCGCCTAATTACGTCACAAACTCGAGCGGAATCACGCGCATTCTGCAGCGCGTAAAACCTACGTTGCGAGCATTCTATGTTCTTTATCGGCTCTCCCGCCTTATCTAGGCCGCGCATAAAAAAACGCTTTGGACAAAGTTTCCTCATCACACCGCGGTGCACAACTTTCGCTCGAAGCTTTTTCCTCCATCTGTTATAATTACGCCGCAAACTGGAGCGGACTCGCGCGCATGTAAAACTGGCGGCGTACGCAGCGGTTCTTCGCGGGCGGTCGTTTCCTCGATGAAAGCCACCCCATCACGGCGCAGCCACGAAATACTTAGAACCCCGTTCAATCTATGTCAGGTCGGGTGTCGGGGGTGCAAGTCGGTGCAAGCGCGGCTCGCATTCAGCCAGTGGGTGACCACCCTCCGGAGTCACCGTCGCGACGCTCCTCGCTCTCTGATGAGGTTCCCGGTCGGAAGCGACCTCGACGTCTAGTGCGGCCTCCTGGTAGTCGAATCCCTGGAGACACCCTGGGGATTCCCTCAAAGCAGCGATGAGTCCCCTCACTCGTGACCAGCGCAGCAGAGGAGGCCCTCGATAAACCTAAGCGACTCCGGGGACCGTTAATTACTCCGGCCAGGTAAATCGGCATACCTGTCCGATTTTTTCTCCCCTAGATGCGATTGTATTTGTTAGTAATTTTGCGATTTTTTATTTTTTAACCATTTGTACTTCAACCAGATAAATCGGCGCAGCTGTGCGATTTTTTCTCCCCGAGAAGAGATACTACTTTATTTGCTAATAATTTTAGTTTTTTGATTTTTTAACCGTTCGTTTGATTTCTGTTAATTGCTTTCCCAGAACCCTTGGGACCAAATCTAGAATCCATCCACTCCTGCGCCTCAGGGGACCCTAAGATGTTCAACCTGTACCAGAACCTGGGCAAGCGAGACGACGAGTGCCCCAGGTCCGATTTCACCGGTCATGACAGATTCTGCCAAGAGCGACCTGGCAACAGGCGAAGACGACGACCTGTCAGCCGCAGGACACAAAGTGCCATCGAATTGGACTCGGAAGCCATCGTCACTGCCAGGGGGGTCCTTCGAAGAGGACGAAGTGCCAGCATCGAAGACGATGATAGCGATGAAGAGAGGGGATATCAACTGACCAATAAAATCGACAATCTCGCCAAGATCCTTTTCAACCGAGTCTCCGCTGCCAGAGGGTGCAGGGATCAGAACGACCTCAGGTGAGAATGAATTTTACTTACTTCAAATCACGGATATACTTTATCACACTTTTTTTATCCGCATTATTCGTATCTCCACTCAGGCATCGTTTCGAGAAATTCACGAGATTGCAGAACTGCATGCCCCAAATCCGAATCAGGTCAGAGGTCGAGGAACATCAGGGGAATTTTAATCACGGCATCCAACCTCTCATTTTAATCACGATTTACATCTGGATTTATTTTTTATTGCGGGAATTGATATAGTAAAGAGATTATTGACGATTTCACTTACTCGGATCGCCCAGATTCCGAGGTGGAGTTATTTCCGGGAGATTCTCGGAGCGCAGGGACAGAATCGGGTCAGAAGCCGGGAATAACAATGGGAATTTAATGAACTTTAATTTGTATATATATATGTCGCCGCAATTAATCTCAGGTTTCAGTCGATCGGATCGACCAGATTCCGGAGTTATTTCCGGGGGCAATCACGGAACAGCGGGGTCGAATTAGGTCGGAAGCTGGGAATAGCGAGTAATGAAATTTTGATTGCCGGTCGCGAGCATTTCGAGAGCCATGTCTACGGCACTCTATTTTCCAATAAAATCACGTCAAAGGGGTGGAAAGCAATTACGACGGCACGAAACAAAGCACCGAATGAAGTACAAGGCTGCAAGCTCTGCCGTGCAATGTGGCCTCATTGTCTAACAGCGCTTTGTCCTCTTCAAGTGGTGTCCCTGCGTTAAGTCGAGTACTTTCCGCCTAGATACCCACTTACACATACTCTCGTAAACTCGTATCGATACCCTCTGAGCACGATTCAACCTCGGGGAAGAGTTAAACATCAATTACCGCATTCGTCGCTTAACAACGTGGCTGGATGTTTTTTAACAGCCCGTTTCTTTTTAAATTTCCATTTTGCTTTGCGCATCTATTGAATCCCTTTGGATCTGCTCCTGTTATCGACATCTATTTAAAATAGAAAATGCAAAATATATTCATATAATCCAATGTCAATTGTTAAGTGGAAATGGATTTTTTGCCTTGGATTTAAAACAGACAATGCAACATCTATATCTGAAATAGGCTAGTGAAACGTGTAAAGTGAATTTCTTTTTTTAATACTGAGATTGAGATCTTGCGTGGTTTAATAAGGAGTTATTATTTAAAACGTAGGTAAAAATTTCATTTATGTCATTTTAGAACACGAGTTAAATATGTTCACTCGAATTTCGGTACCGAGTTGAATTTACACTTGACTCTCACATTGTTGACAAACACGATTTCAGGACATTCGGTGCCTCGCTTTCAGTACAGAAGTGTAAATGGACGAGATTAATCGCAATCACCTAATTTAAGCTTATTGATCATCAATTTTATATGTATAACTTATAGGCGTATTGTTAAGGGTTTCTTTTAAACTAAGACGTAGATGACGATATAACGAATGTTTTGTTGAATTGGACTTTCCATGGAAAGAAACGAAGGCGTCCACAGGAAAGTTAATTCTTCGAGTTACTTCACGGGCTGCGTCGAGAGAAGTTTCAAGACTCTTAAATTTCTAAACTCTCGAAGAAGGTAGAAAATACCGGAATAGCATAAACTGCCGAAAAGAATACTCATCCTTATTAGATTTATTTCGATTCCAATCATTTTCTTGAGTCAGATACGCTGTTGCAAAAACTTGTCACTATTAATTCCGTCGCAAAATCGAGTAAATCATGTTTCAAAAATTCGTTTTCTCAAGTCAGACATCCCGTTGCAAAAAATGGTCACTATTAATTCCGTAGCAAAATCGAGTAAATAATGTTTCAAAAAGTCGTTTCCTCGAGTCAAATATCCCGTTGCAAAAAATACTCAGTATATTAATTCCGTCCCAAAATAGGATAAATCCAAATGTCTAAAATGCATGTTTCAAAATTTCGCTTCTTCGAGTCGGATATCCCGTTGCAAAAAATTGTCACTATTAATTCCGTCGCAAAATCGAGTAAATCATGTTTCAAAAAGTCGTTTCCTCGAGTCAGATATCCCGTTGCAAAAAATGCTCAGTATATTAATTCCGTCCCAATATAGGATAAATCCAAATGTCTGAAATGCATGTTTCAAAATTTCGCTTCTTCGAGTCAGATATCCCGTTACAAAAAATTGTCACAATTAATTCCGTCGCAAAATCGAGTAAATCATGTTTCAAAAATTCGTTTCGTCGAGTCAGGGAGAATGTCTCGTGAAAACTCGGTGGGAAATGAAATCCAGGAAGTTGGTAAAGCCGCGGCAATAACATCATTATGACCGTTTCTTATTGGATGAAACCTTTGCAGTCGTAGAGCGGCTTGGTATGCTAATAACGCAAATCCCCCAAGAAATCCGTGGCTGTTAAGCCTAATATGCTTTCGAGATCGCTCAAGTACCGATTCTCAGGGATTACTAAAGCCGCAAAATAGACCAAGACAAATAGACAATAACAACGAGGACAGGTATCTCTGAAAACTCTTATTCTTGAATTCATACGGACTTTTTTTTTTTTGTCGCACGCGAATAGATTAGCATGCAAAGTGTCGCATTGTTGCGAAGTCGCGTAATTGGTCAATATTTGAAGGTCGTACACGAAAATGTCAATTTCGCGTGCGAATGTTGATCGTATGAACTCGAGAATCGGGTCCCAGATCCCTGGAAATAATTCCAGAAATTACAGTGATTAAACGGGACAAGCTAAATGCCACGTCGAACGTTATTTATTATTTATAACTATTCTCTTGCAGGAATGGCCGCCACCAGTACACGGCACTGGGTAATGGGCCATCGACTTGCGAGGACGTGGGCGAATACGTTGAATTGGAGAAAAGGTCAAGAGACCGAGCTCTGTCAATTTGCCAAGTGTATCTTCAGGGAACGCCTCGCTACACTCTCATCAAACAACTCAACAATGTCGGTAAGCTTAGTCCCTCGAGCCACGAATTTACCCGTCGCTGAAAAATAAATTAAGCATAAAAAACCCCATGCATAAAAATTTCCCACAATTTTCCGGAACGACTTACAAACAAAAAAGAAATGTACTAACGCTAAAGGAAGCAATTTCGAGTATTTATTCCAGTCTAATAAATTCCTTTGGCAAGCTGATGTCGATTTATTAATTTATGAGGCAGTTCCGCTCAAATATTTGCATGGATTTCGAGAATCCCACCTTCGGGAAAAATTGTAACTTAGTTTTGGCGAACTTGTTTGTTGAATATTAAATTACGACGATCCAGTAATTTGTTAACAATTTTCCAGGGTCGAGGGTGGATAAACATTGGTTTGCCGTGAGAGACACGTCGCTAAAAGCCGACCGACTCATGACCCTCGTGCCGTTGAACAGAAATTGTTCGTTAAACATCTGCCCGGCGACCAAAGACATCGTGAACAATCTTTTCCTGGCTCTACAGCATCCCTACATCTGTCCTGTCCTGGACCTGGAGTTCATCGAGTACGAGGGGAAGAATTACGTGATCCTGGTCCAGCCTATAAACCAGGGGAGCTTGAAGGACCTCGTCTATGGGGTAGCCACCCTAAAACATGAATTACTAATTGTTCCCTGACTCATGCTACATCGGTCATTCTCTGTAATTAATAATTATTAATAATTTCAGATCGAGAGGAATTGTTGGAACGAAGACTGGAGCCAAAAGTATGCAGCGCGAGGTAGAGGTCTTCCTCTGCCGCAGATCCAGCAAATGGGCAGGCAAATTTTGGAAGCTTTGGTGTTCCTGAAGGAAAGAGGCTTCCCTGTTGTCACTCATTTGCACTCTGGAAATGTTATCGTCCAAAATGGAGTCGCTCGTTTAGCTGGGCTTGAGAACACTCTGCTTGGGTTTACGAGTCGGATACATCCTGTGGTGACTTCGAGGCTTTCCAATGCTAACTACGTCGACACGATCTGCTTCGGTAAATGAAATAATTATAGACACTTCGAAGATATCAACTACGGGTTATAAATTAATTCTGTATTCTTCACCTTTCAACCCAGGTCACATGTTGTTCGAGATGTGTGCTGGCTTCGAGCTGAACGCGTTCAAACCTACTGCTGTTCATCTCTCTGACATTGAAAAGTACCCACAGGTACGAAAATAGTCTACGGAAGCTCGACTGAGTTTCGCGCCAAGTACCGATAGATACATTCATGCGTGGCTAATTAATTTAGATACTAATTCATCCAGAAAACCGAGGGGTTATTCACTCGGAATTTGATGGAAACGATTTCCTTCTTTTATCAACCGATTGCCTTTGATTTTATACATGGCAATGTTTTCCTGATTTTGCTTGCGATTCCCACGTAATTGTGAGAATTAAAATTCATGATTTCCTGACTGAATACCTCCTCGCAGAAAACACTACGAAGTACTTTTAGAAGTGGTAAGAAACGATAATTTCAAATTTTACGGGCTTGGAAATTGTTTTCCTTGGAAAATCCTCCAAGTTTAGGTAATTAGATGCATTTTCCGGTCTATGCTAAAGTTCCACCGAAGAAACTTCAAAGCATTCTCCGGCACAAATAACTATTTATGTAAATTTAAGGTCGTCGAACTCCTAGGCATGATATTCGGACAATCGGGCAATCGTTACCCCACCATAGAGGAGCTTCTGGTCCATGACCTTTTCCGAAATATCGACCTTCGTGAAATGCGCAGTGCGCCGGTCACTGTAAGTAAATCTAATTTCCTCGACGAATGCTTCAATTACCGTCCCGATGGCGTCACGCACTTTCTGCTCCAGATATTTCGTCCAACTTTAACGCCTTCCATAGTGAATTTACTCGATGGTATCAAGAGACAAAATACGATAAAAAGGTGAGCTTGTCCTTTAACGCGAAGAGAAAAATTCCAAGGATATTTTTACTGATTTTTCAATTGCCAATAGATCCTTATCAATCTTTCTTCTCTTTTAATCTCGCTAATTATCATTTCTCTCAACGCATTGTGGTTCATTTTGCATGCATAGCAGGCACAGATCGAACTCGACGAGTGATGTTTTATTGTCCCGCAGATATCGGTGGTAATAGTTCACTTATTATTCGGACGCACCAAAACGTAGCTGATAAATTTCATTGGTAAACTGTGTGCATAGACTTCACTTATTTGTTTATAGAACGACGAGTGTCGACAGCGGAGACATGATATCGTTGAGGAGTCCTTTGATCGAATACAACGAAGAATGTTCACTTCTTGCTCAAATATACGACGAGCTATCGCAAACGACTATCTAAACTGGGAACAATTATCTCCAACCGTCTAACTTCGAAAGCATACCTTCCACTTTCAAGTGCTAATTAGAATAATTCTCGCTATCATATCCTTAAAGATGTGTAAAGTGATATAGATCTATTGGAAATAAACGAGATGAACCTATTTGAAAGTAACGGGAGCAGTATTTGCATTGCTCCGAAATGAGTATTGTTTTACAGGTCTTCTGTGAAAAAAATAGGTGTTTTATTAAAAACTTATCGATACGCGGTGCGACTTTCTGAAAGTCCCTTTCGAAGAAACAAAGTATATATATATATATGTATATTTATATATGAAAAAGGATGAATTAATAATATTAATAATAGTTACACATAACTGCCGCCTGTATTTATATAAAATTTTTACAGATGCACATCTGTTTCGGGTTTATACGTAACAGTTAAGTATAGACGATACTGGAACAAGTTTCGGAAAAGTTTTACTTTAAAGAAATAGCAGTTAAATGAAGATAATACATTTTCCGTCGACGGTGACGGCTCATCGGTGGCGACGCGGAGACGCGACGGGTGGAAATTTGAATACTCTCTTTCTCGACTGACGTCTGAACGATCGCTTAACAAATCCCAGAATTGAAGTTCTTAATAAATTAAGTTCGCTATCTATGAAGCTCCGGCTTCGAGCTCACTGGCCGGTGTGTCCGGCTCCTCGTCGTTGTAAATGTTCTCCGCCATCTGCCAAACTTGCATTATATTGTCTTCCGAGACTGAGCATATAACCCATGGTTCGTTGGGGTTCCATGAGAAATCACTAATTTTCGCGGTGTGACCTCCGTGGATGAACTAGAAATTTAATAAAATCAATATCTTAGATTAATTTAACCAGACTAGGAGATGAGTGTTATTAACAATCAAGGAGTTATTACCAATAATTCAGGAGGTCCATCTTCAGCATCCTCGCTGGACTGCTCCTCTCCGATCTTGCTAAGATCCCAGACATGCAAACGCCTATCGGTGCCACTGCTAGCTAATATAGTTTCGTTGTGCGGAGACCATTGCACCTGGAAGATCTCATCCTTGTGAGACTCGAACGAGTGCAACTTTAATTTTAAATTCCTCAGGTCCCAGAGAGCTACAGTCTTGTCAGCACTGCCAGTTGCGAGAATGAACTCGGAGTAAGGATTGAAACTTAGACAGTTAACCTCCGCAGTGTGAGCATCGACGGTGTGACTCGGTTTACTAGTATTGTTACATCTGCGAGAACAACAAATTTTAGGGGACCATAATTAATAATACGTAATTGCTACATACCTTGTGTCCCAAATCATGAGTTTCTGGTCATCGGCAACGGAACCGAAGAGAGATTCGTGAAGCAAATGCCAAGCGACGTCTTCTACAACAGCAGTGTGGCCCGTAAAGATGGTCTTAGCATCGATAACTCGATTCTCCTTTGGCGTGGCATTAATGTCCCAAAGGCAAATCGTATGGTCATCCGATGCACTCAGTAAGTAACCGTTTAGATTTGGATTCCAGGAGAGACCGTAGCCTTCTTTCTGATGTCCTCGTAGCCTGGTTATTAATTACAATATTCATTTTTTACCTCCAGTTGGTAAACATTTCGGTTACTTATAACTCAGGAGGGAAAATATTGCAAAAAATATCTACCTAAGGTCTGGATGGCACTCTCCATTTGGATCGGGTTTACTTGGATGTTTAGTATAATCAAAGACCAGCACGTCACTGGAAGGTGTTTTGGTCGCGATGACGCAAGGATTCTGTGGCATATATCGTGCCCTGTTAACTTCCCCCTCGTGATTGATCTTGATTTCGATCTCGATCTTCCCGCTGACAGATCCAAAGCCACCAAATTCTCCCTTTTCGTTATCGTAATGAGACGCGTCAAACTGAGCATCCTCGTTTGGCAGCTGCACGCTCGCGATGAGAAGGTGGTTCTGCTCGTCGGAGGTGTGAGTTCCAAGGATCAGTCGATGTACGGAATAGTCTTTGCCTTCGGGTCTCGTCACGTCCGGCAACCACTGTGCCGTCAACGAAGGCCACTCCAAGGCATGTGTCATAACGAGATCATACAGGAACGGAGTGTTCTTCTTCCATATCTTGTACTCCTCGTTAATGACACGCTCTTCTACTGCATCGTCAAACGTTTCTTAAAGCGAAAAAGAAATATTTAATCAACCACTAGCCATTAATAAGATTCATGTCTCGGTTTCTCCGATAGATACCCATACAAACCGGTGGAAATCATTCGCACTTTAAGTGCCGTCATTAATTAAAGGAATTTGAAAAAGCCGCCATTGTCACGACGTCGCCGCCATAACAAAGTAACCTGTACGATCCGCTGTGTACCCGCACCGGATTTAATCAAGCAAATTAACGGTCTAACATCAAACAAAGCAAAGGAACCCTCCCCATGATAGGAACCCTACATTCCCTAGATCGAGTATAGAACCAAGTATGGGAAACCGTCTTCGGCTGACGCTTAATGAGAAGAGAAACACTGTGCTGCTTATTATAGAGCGACAGACGCATCATTCGAAATGTCTCCTTATTTCGGCCAGCTGGCACGAAAGCTGCGGAGAGGATTTTAGAAGACCCTTGACCCTTACCTCCGTCTTTATCGCCCATTTGTACGTCGAGAGAAGTTCCGAGTCAGAAATCGGCACTCGAGCTACCACCAGATCGTGCCCGCCAAAAAGCTAGCAACAGCCACGAACTGCAAAGAACAGGGTGCCGTCAGAAAACCAGAGCACCAAAATACACGGCCTGCCATTTAACCGGCAATACCTAGACCGCCGACTCCATGGAAAGTTCTCCTACTCAGAAGTTAATACTCAGGAACGGCGCGACAATCGCGATTGTTTTACGTAGAACGATGGGTAAGTAAAATAACGTAAGCTGTTACTAAATATTTTACGCCACGAGTTTTGCACAAGATGTAAATTACTTGACAACGGGACTACATTTTCGATAGCCCTGTATGTATATATGATGAATTTGTAGTCATTTACAGAGATGAGTTGGGAGATTGCGCACGGTCAGGGTGGCGCGATCGAATCCTATGCTGCCCTCTGGTTTTGTACGTGAGCCGCCAACGATGACTGGTAGATGGTACCGCCATCGCGAGTGCGCGAGCTCCTATCAGAAATTCGTTGCGCCGCCCTTGGGGGCAAAAAACGGTGAAAGCTAACGTACGAAACCAGAGGGCAGCACAGGATGCGATCGCATGATCCTGCCCGTGAGCAATCTCCCAACTCATCTCTGTCTCGTATCGACTAATTTCTTGAAATTTCGAAAATTGAAACGAAAACGAAGTGTCTGTAGATGGCGCTGAAACTATTGGAGGGAAAAGTTACCGTAAAAGCGGACTTTTCGACCGTCTTCCTCGATTTCTATCCTGCCGGAACCATTGTTGTGTATATGTTTGCCCGCGCAAACATCGTAAGCCGCTAAAATCACGTTAATTACGTAAATATCAGTAATTCCTGGCTATCTCGGTAAGTAACGATAGCATCAAAGAAGGAAAAAGCTTCGAAGGTGTTTGTCATTGCTGCTGAGATACGTCGTGTGCCGAAACGTGTACGTTTTTCTGTGTTATGTATACTACGACACATGTGAATTAATTTCGCGTGTTTGTGGATACTTGAAAGGTCTCAGATCACGTTATAATACATTAAGGTTTCATTGCCACCGATAATTGCAAACTTCATGAATATTATTATTATTAATCGTATCAGTCCTACTTCAACTCGATTTATGAATGGAACTTGGTAATTATAAAATCCTCGTGTTTACTATTGCCCATACTTTATAGATCTGTAGCCGGATTGATTAAAATGGTTGAGTCGGATCATAGCGATGGGATGGAAGGAGTCTCGAGCAAGCGGCCCCATGAATCCTTTTCAGATGATGAGAAACTCCAATTACCGAAGAAAAGGGCACGCAATTATTCGGATGACGTCGAACTGGTACATGGAAATAAAGATGGAAAGTCTGCTTTGGAAGCGAACGGCAATGCAAACAGCAGCGACGATCACATGAACGATGATGAAAAAGAGCAGAATGGAAAGGAAAGCTCGGACAAACCGGATCAAAGTTCCAAAGTAGAGGATTTGAGAAGCACCGATACCGAGGAATCGCAGGCTTCTAAGTCGGAGGTAGGAGAGAGCGAAGATTCGCAAGAAGCTCCACCAAAAACTGCATCGGGAGCTGATGATGGATATGAAACCCAAAAGAACGAAGCCAACAAGGAAAAGGAAGATCAGGTATAATTTATATGTAACAAGGTATCCTATAACTTGGAAAACAGAATCGGTCCTATTAAGTCAAAGCGGGTGAATTCATTGTAAAACATTAATTCACTCGCCGTTGAGATCTTTTGCTAAGCTTGTGTATACATGATTTAACAGACATTTTCTGTTTCTGAGGAAAGTGTGCATTCATGTACTTTAACTACTAAACATGCTATTTTCTTGTTGATGAAGAAGGATGTTACCAGCTCCGAGAAAATCGCTTCAGAGTCAAGGAAAGAGAGTGCTGACAAATCAGATAACGAAGTGAAGGAAGATTCAAAACACGAGGGAAAACGCAGTAAAGTACGCAAGGACGATTCAGAAGTAGTAGATGGATTGGAACTTTCCGTAGAGTGTGCGAGCGACAAGGAAGCATCGTCCTCTGAGAGCGATAAGGAGAAGGAATTGAAGCCAAGACCTAAAACGATAATTGTCAAAGCACAGCCAAACGACTCCGAGCTGGAAGTCAGTGCATCCGAAGCAGAAAAGTCAGAGTCCGAGGAAAAAGCTGTTACAGAAGAGGAAAGCAAAAATGTTAAACGTAGGAGCACACGAAAGTCTCCGAGTAAGTCGAAACGCTCTAAATCCGAGGACAGTCTGGATGACAAATCAGAGGACGAGGATTATAGCCCTCGTATAAAAAAGAAAGTTAAGAAAACTCCAGCAGCTAAAAAAGCGAACACAGCAAAGGCACCAGAAAAGAAAAGAGGAAGGAAACCAGGCCCAAAAAAGACTACTAAAAATGTGGACAAGGAAAAGTCTGAAAGCGATGATGAAGTGAGCTTGGCAGATAGAACTAAGAAGGTAACACCCAGTAAAGAGGAGGAAGAGAAAAAAGAATCTAAGGAATCCAAGGAATCAAAGGAATTAAAGGAATCAAAGGAATCAAAGGAATCAAAGGAATCAAAGGAATCTAAGAGTGGTTCCGAGGACACTGACGAGGAAGGTAATAGCGATGAGGAGCACAGTACTAGAAATGGGAAGAAAAGTTCACGGGTAAAAGTACGTAACCTTAATTCGTAGTTTAATTTCTAACCCTTACTATACATTTAAAAAATGCTGTAATTAATTCATGTTAATTCTTGCTCTTAGGGTAGCAGCGCCAAAGTACAAATGTTGCGAAAGTATTTAAGGGCTGCTGGTGTATCTCACATGAGCTACCAAACTCAATTCTCAGCATGTAAAACGGACATTAAACGTGTGGCTCTCCTTAAGGAGCTGCTGGAGAAAAATGGGGTCGTCGGTAGACCAACCCTGGAAAAATGCAAAAAAGCAAAGGAGGCTAATGCAAGGTTGAAGGAAGTCGCCGAACTCGATACCAAGAATATTATATCCGAAGGTTTCTACATTTCATTGAACATACATCAGCACTCTAAATAACAACATATTTGCCCTTGTTTACGCTATACATATTTCCGATCTCGAAGAGAATAGTTTACCTTAGAGCCCTTCAACTGTGATAGATCGGAGTTGACAGCTGTGTCCTTGAGGCCATGTTTTCCTGTCTTATTAATAGAGAAACATTTCCAGGTCGCGTGACGCGAGCTCGTCGAGGCATGGAGTCTGCTAAAAAGACAACACTCAATGAGAGCCCACCTCGAGAAACGCGCAACTCCTACAGCCGAGTTCAAAAAATTATTGACAGCGATTCGGAATAAGACCACAGAGTGATGGAGACCCAGCACAAACTTCAAACCTTCAAAGAAATTCTATATCCTTTTGACAAGGATCGCTTAATGCAACTAGTGTTTGAATTGGTTACACGTTGTGTAACACTGATTGATTTGATCAAGACACTTTATTTAAGTTTCTGTTTTAATGTTATGCTTTATACGATTTTACATGATTTTCATATTGACCGCCTAAGAAGGACCGTCTAGAAATGTCTGGGACTCTGCTATATGTATAGAACCTCAGTGGTGTTCGGTGCTTCTATCTTTAGTCTTTTACTTTACGTTGAAACAAAAGCAACATTGATATTACGCAATATTTGTATCGATACGTATCTAAGAATGAGAATTGTTATATAAACAACTTACGAGAGAGACTAGGCTTACTATTATCGTACATGTCACCATTTACTACAAAATAAAGTCGTTTACACGTAATAGTATGTATAGTTGTACCGAGCATGAAGACATGAAAGTACAATATTTTGTTAAAAAAAAGTATACATGTAGTTGAATGCCGTCTTTTCATAAGGCCACCGTGTATAAAATATTTCAAATCACATATTTATTCACGCTCAGAATAACATTTGATTTAAACAGTAGATATAAAAAATATATCTTGGCACTTATCAATTGGAATTCTGTTTCGTACTAGCATGGAAGACATTTCTGTTCAGCTCGATGCTTTACACGTGTACATCGAAGAAGGTATTCTGAGCATGCCGTAGGAACTTTAGATACAAACTGTGATGTCGAGCCGGAAAAACGTACCGCAGTTTAAAGTTTTATAGCGCCATAAATACTTGATAATATAGGTATAATCAGCCTTGCGAGAAATATGCGACGTGAGTTATCGCGGCTTTTCGCTCATAAATTGTCCGACGCATTCTTTACTGCAAAAGGGTTTCTCTTCCCTGATTGTCATTTTACCATTGAGAAGGCTTTTCTTACAGACAAAGCAGCAGAAACATTCAGGCACTGCATGGAAATCCAGGTTCTTTACAGCGACACCTTGCTGATGGGCTTCGATGATGTTTCTGCATGTGTTGCAGGTCTTGGCATAAGTCTTTTGATAGCAAAGAAGGCAAAGTGGACGGTCGTTTTCGGAAATGTACTGTTGACCAGCTAAAGGCACATCGCAGTCCCAGCAACAAAAATGCTTCACATGGTAGTTGTGTCCCTCCGCTACTGTGTATTCTCTCACAAAGATTAACTAAAAATTGTAAACAGTACGTATAATAATTTTATCTCTTTGCAATACATGCCATTCACGGAATAATCATTTAACGATAAGGTTACCTCATCACAGGCGAAGCATCTTGGTATCTCCAAAAGGCTGGCGAGGTCCCTTCCGCAGTACAGTTTTCCTTTGTAGTAGAAATAGACCAGATCTACAAGAAGTTCGTTGCAGGTGGAACAGACGAAGCACCCTGGATGCCAAACTGAGTTTTTAGCTTTCTCCGCAGTGACCACAACGTCACCGATGTGAATGGACTCTTGACATCGGTGACACTTTTGTGTCGGAGCCATCCCCACTGACAATTCCTCCATCGCTCCTCTCAATCGATCAATGTTTGCAGGATTTTGCACAATTTGCGGAGTTCCGATCACACCCTCAGGAAATACTGGATTCCGTAAATCCTCGGAATGAATGACGGTCGAATGAACTGGTTGATAATTCAGCTCTGCTTGATGTCGATAGGGTAAGGATTGATGAGCCTGGTGAATTTCTGCATCGCTGTAAGCATTGTCTAAGGGTTCCCCATGGATCGACGAATTCGCCTTCTCTGAACTTCCCGTCAGTGCAGCAGCTTGTGAACATTCTGAAATTAGTAATAATTACGTACTCGTGTTTTATTACCAGACCGTGATGTGATTTATTCGTTCTCACCTGGATGAATGGCTTCATCTTTATTAACATCTGCTGTAATTGTCTCTTTTCCCAAAGAAGCATAAGGCGAATTTGGCTCGATAAGGTGTCCTTTCTGATCTCTGAATAAATCTTTGTTCCCATCACTTCCACATCCCATTGTCCCTGAGAGTTTATCATCCTCCGTACTATGTCCTTTCTTTGAATCCAGAGGAGTCGAGTAACAATGGTTGAGTCCATACAAAGACTCTCCCATTGCAATGTCACCAGAAGAATTCCGCATAGCTGCGATAATAGCTACCTGTTCAATTTCTTTATCCACTTTAACGGGAGAACACTTTTCAGCTGTATTGCTGAATAAACTTCGAGGCACCGTATTTCTTGTACTGTTCGATTCAAGATCCTGGGCTTTCGCAAGGCGCATTCTTATGGGGTCATCCTTGCTGTACTTTGATCGAAGTTGTTCCTGTATGAACATTAACTTATCTTTGCCCAAAGTACTTCCTACTATGTCACTGGCATTTACAGCACTTGGAGGAAGCAAAGCTTCCGATAACATTAATTCAGCTGATCGAGAGTACTCTTGGTTTAAATCGTCTTCTGTGAATAGAGAGTAACCAACCGAGGAAATATTAGCTACGTTTTCTGGCACAATTCCGTGATTGTCCGTTGAAGATTCTGCTAACTCAGTATTTATTGGCACACTTTGACTCGGGTAGCTACTTTTGGGAGGATACTGTTTGTTGCGAAGAAATTTTTCTTCGGGATGAACATCCGAAGGCAAGCTTGCACTCGATGCAGATGATCGAGATGGAAGACTGTGCGAATGAGAAGGCAGTGGAGTATAAACTGCTCCTTCTTCGTGATACAATTTAGGATTTTGAACGACTGATTCTATCATGCCTTCTGCCTGTGGAGTTCCATAACGTAACTGATGATTTCCTGTTCTTGGTGGAGTCTGCGTCCCCTGAGTTTCCATTTGATTTAGGTGTTTCGATACGGAAGGAGAAGAAGTAAGTCTGTTTGGAGACGCAAACTGCTGATTCAGGGTATCCACTAACTTTGACTCCATTCTTTGACCACTGTTCGAAATTTTATCAAGAGTTGGATGGTATTGACCTAATCGCAATTTTTCTCCACTTGCACACTCTCCGATCTCACCATGAACAGTTTCAACTTTTACTGGAGTAGCATGTGATTCTCGATTCTGTTCAAGTAGTGGAGATTTCAACGTAGGCACTTTTGGAAGAAAACTGCTCGGCGTTCGAAGGTTAGCTCTTTGCCCTCCTATGGGGGAATTTGCTTTGTGGTGAGGACTAAATCTTTGCATGTCCGTTGCATTAATAGGTGTCATCAGAGGTTGTACAAACGGTCTTGCACCCATTATCTAAATAATGTATCAAAAAGAATAAGTTATTTTTGTTTCGCTACTTTGGCAAAGAAAAGATTTAATTGAATACAAAATGTGATAACTTACTTTAGTCACTTTCCCCTGTCCGACGTATTTCTTCAAATTCTCCAAATATTTTTCAAACTGTTTCTTCTCTTGTTCACTAAGTTCATCGCAAGACTTATGATCTATATCGTGAAGCGGCAGCTGTTTCTGAAGTTGCTGTCTCCTAAGTACAGCACCAGGCGAATCCTTTATCGGCAGTTTCTCCACAGGCAGTGCTTTCATGTAATCCGCAGCAAGCTCCTTTGTAGTGTTTGGCGGTATCCAGTCGAAAGGCATTTCATGTGCAGCTTGTTTTTTATTATCCAATCGTAAAACTGACAAACAAAAATGTTCAATTCTCTCTACTGTCAAGATTACCATAAAACCTCCCAACAATTCCCAGCATATCTTCAAACTTACCGACTCTCCCTTTCTTCCTAGGCGTTCCCGAAGGTCCAAACAATATATCAAACTGCGGGAAATCATCATCGTTGACATCGTGATCGTCTCGGCTACACTTACAACTCTTGCAGATCTTCCTCCAGAAATGAAGATCCAGCCCCGGGCATCCACCCTGACAAACCAAGCAGGGAGACCCAGCTCCTGCCTCGTGAGCTAACCGTGGCTACGACATAGAACGCAATCTCAATTCTTTTTCCAATTACCTTAACATACACAAGCACCAAAGACGCAGTCTCATCGAATCATGTAATCGCTGCATATTCAACGTTACACTTTGGTATTTTTATTTACCTGACTGCACTAATTATATATGAATTAAACTCACCTTTCTCTTGCGATTTTCCAGCTCGATCATCCATTTCGGTCGATCGTCGACTTCTTCCATTTCTTTTGCTTTGTCAACGCGCGCAACGCTTACAGGTTATTTCACTTGTAACAGGTGGTTGCCGACAATTGAGGCTGTTGACAAACGTTGAGGAATCCATCTACAAAGAGCTGCCGATACGATGTCACGCCCTTCGATCATTTACGAGGTGAATCAACTTCTCTGACTCATCTAGGGTCCCAACGCGAGCGTGCAAGAAACGTGTCGTGATGTACTCACCAACACACGTAATTCTATAACAATGTGCATGCCGAATCGCCTTGTTGCAACATTGCATGAACCTGAATGCCATTCTTTGCTCTTTTGGGCCTCAACGCTTCATTTCCATTGTTAAAAAAGGCGTTGCAAGCAGAATGTTTCACCTAAAAACGGTGAATGAAATAGATCTCATGGATAAAAATGGCGCGAAGCAAAGCAAACGGATGGAAATAATTATAAAATGACGGAAAATTACTGGTACTTTTTCGGGAACTTACGAGTATATAGATAAATATATTTACGAATGAGAAACTACATTTCTAAGTCCAAATACAACATCAACGTTGATAATAACATAGGTAAAAGTAGGGAAAGCGTTTGTACATGATCGTTAGATTTTTCTGATTAATGGACGTCAAGAGAGAGCTTATTTTTTATCGGGGATTTTTTTAAGATACTCTAGAATTTAATAAGCTACTTGGTGGTTCAAACTTTACATTGGATGATTTATATCTACGCGTAATCGATGCGATTGACCAGGACTTGAGTCTATCGGGGGAACCTAACCTCAAATTTTGCTGACCTTCCGAAGTTTCGGGAAGATCAGCTGAGAATTCCTGATTATTTGACAAAAATTCGATGTAATGTTCTTGTGATTGTAACAGCAGTAAAAAGTATATGGAATGCATTAGTGAAGCATTCATAATAAATATCGATTATAAATCTACTCATAAATTCTCAAGAAGTTCTTTATAAAATGATATACATGATACGGTGATTTTATTTGCTACGTTCTCTGACTTAATTTTAACCGAGAATCATCGAACTCTGGGACGAATTTGCATTGTCATTTAAAATCTTCCTTGGTAAGTAAACGGCATAAAAAAAGAATCTAGCAAGTGCAACGATAACTCCGAAAAGCAGTGTCGAAATTTTCCAAGCAGATATGCTCGGCATCGTTCAAAGAATGCCAAAGGAATTTCCTCGATACGATCTAAAAACCCTTAATAAATCTTGTTCGCTTGATTTTTATGTGCTTTTATATTCCCAGGTACATTTTCGTGGAATTCTTCCTCTCGGCTGTTTTTGAGTCAACTGGAAATTCCGACTTCGATTGCCGACACACAAATGGGTCATCAATTCGACGCGTTACGCAAGGTTCAAGCAAGGTTTGTTAGGTTTTCCTTGAAAGAAGTCGATACCTAAAAGACTGTTCAATTTCAGGATAAATCTCGGCGTTCGTAACGGTAAATTCACGTTTACGTCGAGTTTCGGCGCGGAGTTTCGTGGCGTCTCTCAAAGATGGCGCGCAGGTGCCGACCAAACAGGAATCCTTGGGAACAGGTTCCAACGTTTAAAACGAAGCCCTGGTAGATTTTGAAGTAACCCTGTTATGACCAACCAGTTTACCATCAATCAGCGCAGCTTCAATTTAACCTTCACCGTTTCGCTTCCTCGCAGAAGAAGCTTTACGAGGGTAATGCATGTAATACTCCTACAAGGCAAGTCGAGCATAACAAAGGAAATCCTTTCCCCACGCGAGACGGAAATACGTATACCGAGTCCTGTCTTTTCCAGGGCACGACCATTCGTAGGTGCTTTCCGAACACTAGTGTATTTCACCGGAATAAGTTTGGTTCAGGGATATCTTCACCGAGAGGTCGTTACGCACCGGCAAGGTAAATTTCCAAGGCTCTGTACGTGGAAGCGGGGCCTTTACTGGAGGGAACTTCAAAGTATTATACTTTCAGGTCTCGGTAAGCGCCGGTGGTCCTTTTTACGGAAGCGGTTGTAATTATTAGTTCGGTTACCGTTACAGGTACTCGCCTTACCGATCGCAATGCCCGCGGCTTCGTCAAAATGATCAAAGGGAATGGCAAACCGAAGGAAAGAGTCGGCGGGGACAAAAGGAGACAGCCTGCGTTTGTCAGGTCGCATTAAGTCGAGTTTGCACCGATCAGCTGGATCTCTCAGCTGCATCTTCTCCTCGCCCGTTTCGGGCAAGAAATCTTACTTCAGCTTGGAATAAGATTTATCGAAGCGCATTGCGCGCACCGGTTTCAAAGAAACCCCCGTAAAAGGGACACGCGTGACCGTGTACTTGGCGCGAACCTCAGCCGAGTTCCGCCCGGTCGTTATTCGACGTCCTTAAGGTGACATGAAAGGTTCATTCTATACATACAAAACGTACAAATATTATATATTAAAATCCACAATTTCCTCAGTGAATACTCCTTGGAATATTCCATCTGAACCTGCGAATTTGAAGGACGCTGTGGCTCGCATTTTGGGTCTCGTGAACGTCCATGTTGATTGTAACACGGTAGCAGCTGTGGTCGTTTAAATCGCGATTAAAGCCGTGCGAGATCGGCGGCGTGAATAAAGGGAATTATAAAGGATGTCGGAGGATCGTATTAGGAGTCGCTCTAAGAGGCCATAAACGCCCAAGAGATGGTCCTGCCGGCTCTTCAGGGAATCCGGAGGAAATATTGTTCGCGAAGGAAGGACCGATCCGACTTTATTTTCTGCCGAGAAGACCAGGACGAATAGTCCTGTAGGTAGTTATGGATTTAATCGCGCCGGCCCCAAAGTGGTCCGTAAACAACGGAGATTATGCCGGGAGTGACAAAACTCTTTTAGGCCGATTTGTCCAGACAGAAGCGACAAATAACAGGATGGAATGTTTTCGTCGCGAAAGGCATTCGATAAGTCGCTTGGGGAATAAATTATATACGGATACTGCTTCGAGGAGGAACACTTAAAGCCAATCGTACACAAAATCGCGGCAACTTCTTCGAAGCTTTGCTTGACTTTGAGTTCCTCGAAGTCCCAGTATGTGGTCATGAGAATTTCCCGATACTAACACCTTCGAACGCCGAAGTTGTGCGGTTGGCTTGGGCGATGGTCCCTCGGCGATAGAGGAGTCAAAAATTCCAAAGCACCTAGAGCCGAGGAAAAGATGAGGTCGTTGCACCCGTGAAAGAGTATCCGTGGCCATCTGCGTTCGCTTTAGCTTTTTATAGAGGCCCTATACGAGTAAGGGTGCCACGACGTCCGTCGAGTACTTCTGCATCTTATCGTCAAATCCGCATAATTGTAAGATAGTGCGATTACAGCTAATAGATTATTTTTCACGTTAAGTGCCACGAGTGTTATAAAAAAAATATATATATCAATAAGGGCACCGGGACGCACGAGTACTTCTGCACGCTATCGTTAAACCCACGGGTAAACATAAAAAGTAGTGATTACAGCTAATCTAACGTAGACTATTTTTCGCCGTTACTTTAGGTATACACAAATGTTATAAGAAGAAACTGTCGCATGTTTATCAATAATCGTAGCGCGTAATATTTTATTATGTTCGCGAATTCAATATTTCTCGTCCAGAATCAATTAATCTTAATAGTTGGGTGTAGGAGGAGTATCAGGTTTACGCGGTCGGATCGGGTCACGGCTAGCCTCCCGGCGTCTAATTTAAGGTGCGCCTGTTTTTCGTGCGACTGGGCCTTTCCGTTAAGTTTTAGTGAGGATAGTTATGGTTATGTGAGATTGGTACAGCCGTAACATTACTCCCCGGCTTCGAGTTATAGTGGCTCAGAGTCCAGCTGCGCGATGGTCAAATCCGTAAGCCTTCCCCATTCCCTCCGCAGTGCCCCCACTCGGGTCTTTTCGGTACTCCTCGGTTCTTTTCGGGCCTCCTCCTGACTCCTCTCCGGTTCTTTCGGGTTTCTCTCGAGTCCCTCGCGTGTACATAATGCTCTGCGCTATTAGCCAATTAATTCGAACAAGCGGCATTCCATAGGAAAGAAAGACACCGTTCGTATATATAGGTTAAGTCGGTGGTCCAGCGTCATCGATCCCCAATTATATAATTTCTACTAATTATTGTATTTTCAGATGCTCGTTCTTGCTTGTTTGTCGTGAACGGTGCGTGTTCCCGGACGATCACCCCATCCTAGTACTACCCGCCGCCCAGCGTTGCTTAACTTCGATGATCGGACGAGAACCATATAGGTTAAGTTTAAGCCGTACGGTATAAACGTAGGAGAAGCAAGAGAAGCCCGTTCCATGAGTTCGCCAGTTTCTCCTTTTCTGCGGAGTGACCTCTTCCGCGGCACCTGGGCTACGCGCCAGCTAAAGGGAAAACGCGTTCCCGCGTCTCCCTACGGAGAGTTGACTATAATCTTCCTATATCTCTCTCTTTTTCTCTTTCCCTCACCACGCGTCCAGCTCTGACCATCCTCCTCCCACTCGCCAGCGTTGGGTCGGCCGAGCGCCCAATGCGCTCCGGGTCCACTCGAGTCTTTTTTCCTGTCCCCCTTCTCCTTCCTCCCCCCTTTACCCTTTCGCCCCTCTCTCTTTCGTCCCTCTCCCTCCAACGAGAAGCGTACGGGCCGCGGATCTGTCCCGTTGGAGAGGATCGCTGTCTCTACCGGGAGCGCAGCTCTGCCGGGCGTTCGGTATACCTATCTCCGTCCCCGGCAAACGCTCTCCGGACAACGTGGCTACTGTCGCCGAACCTCTCCTCTCTCCTATCTCTCTCTCGCTCTCGGCAGGGCCCTCTCCGTCGCGCACAACGGCCTTCTTTGTCGATTTGTCGAATCGCGGGGAAGGGAACCCCCGCCGACGCAGGCGTGCCGTCGAGAGGTACTCCCCTCTCTCTCGCTCTCCCCTGGCCCGCATCGCGCCCTCTCTCTCGCTCTCCTTCTCTAATTCTATCTGGCACCCACAAACCGCTTATTTCTCCTTTTTTTTTTTACAGGCTCGGCCGACTACGGCACCGACGCAATTTGTCCCGACGGAGGTTTTACGCGGCATCGGGATGCGCCCTGTTCCGGAATCGACGCAGAGTGCGTCTAGTGACCTCTGTGCGCATGCGCAGAAGGCTCCCTTAAGAGATGATTGCCATTACCCCGCGTTGAGAGCGCGGTCGGTGCAGAGGCGTGAAATGGCCGGTCCGGAGCGGGATGAGAGGTTAGGTTGTTCAGCAGGTGTCGTTACCCATGCTGCGAGCAACATCGGTACTGTAGGTCTTACAACGGTAAGTATCGTGAGTATTGCTCCAATATTGAGACGTGAACGGCTTGATTTATCGACACGTCGTATATACAAAAAAAAAGTGTACGGGTCGAATGGAGTACCTCCTCCTTTTTTGAAGTCGGTTAAAAACTACGAGTATCCAATATTGAAGACGCGTGTAACAAGATGCGGCATACTTAGCCATGTTTATCCTATATTGCAGAGACATATCGAATTTAATATTTATTTCGCTTGCTAGTATAACGGCTATCGCCGTATTTCACACTTTCTTCCATAAATGTGATATGGGGGACCCGAAAAGTGGAGGTTTATAACCGAAGATATGGAATAATACACGTCCTGGAGTGCAGATTTCGCGGGCGTTCGGTAGCCCGTGAAATGCAGACTGCAATGAGGAGAGGCGTCGCGATAAATTATCCAGAACTCGTTTCGACTGATAAAGGATCGCGCGATACCGCGAGGGAGATGATGAGTCCGTTGCAGGAGCCGGGAGAAGCGGAGAACGGCGGTTGACTAGGCGGGGTAGATTATTTACTGCTTCGGCAATAACAACGAGGAATCTTCTCGACGAGGCCACTGTTGTGTG